TTATTTTTGGCCCCGAAGTCGAGTGGACCGCTTTTAGCGGGACTGCCACTTAAATATAATTATCAAGGTATTTACATTCAAAGCTTGTACATACCACAGAGAACTTCCTGAGCATGTGGCATCAATAAACGTCCCATCACCAATTGTGGTGATTCTGTTATTTGAGATATATCTGCGAATGCAAAGTTCTGTCTGTTCACGACTGTTTTGTTTCATTGTTTTGTTCACATCAAGAACGACAGCAAAAGCAAACTCCAAAGTAGTCGTCAACAACTAAGATACTGTAGTGTTCAATGCGGCAAATACTTAGTAAAAAAAAAACATTTGCCAGAAAGAAAATCAGCACAAAAAATTAGCAAGGCAACAGTCCTGTAAAATGGCTACAGAACTACATATTACACTAGAACATGACTTCACTAAAAGCACTCTCCGCGATTCTAGAACTACTTACAGTCTATCAAATCGTTTGTTGTGAAAATCTCCACCCACTGGAAGTGTTGTGAGCTGATTATTCCTAAGGTCCCTGAAATGGGAAATAAAAAAGTGTCACAAGATAAACTACAGCCTATAATGTACAAAATAGAAGATCAAAGACTGCTCATAGCACAAAGTCCAGACAGTTCATTCATCAATCTGGAATAACCTATTAAGCTTTCAAACAATAATCGCAAAACCATGTTAAGGTGTTTGAGCTGAGCTTTTAGAAGTAAAAAGCCCTTGGAGTGTCCGCTTATTGCAGGCTTTGTGTAACAAAATGGCTTAATATTGATGTCCGCGTCCGCTTAACAGAGGTGTCCGCTGAATGCAGGTTTATTTTACAGTAAATGTGGGAAGAAAATTTTGGGACTTCAGCTGGTGTCCACTGAAAAGAGGGTGTCCGCCTAATATGGGGTCCGCTTAATACAGGTTTCACTGTACTTACGAATAATTTTTTTCATCTTTCTCCCACTCGAACCAGTGACGAGGAAGATAGAGAATTTGGAGACTGCACTGTGATGATTGAAGACGATGTCATAACAGCATCCCAACAGGTACAAACCGGTTTGACTGGTCACTAGCTGACATGATGTTTCAGTCAATATTCAGCTTATTCAGTGTTAATCATTTTTCTTCTCCTTAAAGGTCAATGGAGGCAACTTGAAAGAGAGGCTTATACACTACTTCCGGGACAACGAAGAGTTGTACAAAAAGATTCTTCGGTATCAGGTGATTTGAGAGGCTAAGCGTGACGTTTGCGGTAAACTACATTCGGCAAAATTACCTTTTTCTTCTAATCCTTTCTAATCTTTTCTTATTAATCATACTCGTGATTAACAAATCGGACTCCCGCTGCGCGGTCGTCCGATTATGTTTATCATTCTTATGATTGCAGACCGAATTGGACTCCACTCTGTCTTATTACCATTTGCATAAAGAATTTCAGTTCAAAACGTTTTGCCTGCCTGAGAAAATCATTTGCCCTCCCGCTAAAACGTTCATGAAACTCCTGCCGATGCAGATAAATTCAAAATTCTAGAAAATTGTACTTGACGTAAATGCCGAGTTCCTTTTGATTTCTTTCGCAGCCGCAAGAGTTGGTGTCATTGCAGCAGCAGATCAAATCTGACGGTATCAACTGTCCTTTGGGAAAACTTGTGGATTTTCTTGATAAACAGGTATGAAGCTTCCTCAAAATTCCCATTTCATAAGATATAATGATTCATACATTTTATCAGTAAATATTTTGTCAGGTACCTAATTAGTCAACGCGAAAATTCCAGAAGTCTAATTATAAGGAGATGCCTGTTTTATTAAATATCTGAGTTCCAGATGGGATTTGAACCCTCGACCCTCCGCGCGTGATGTAGCCGGATGTTCTCGTGGGTTCAAATCTCATCTGGAACTCAGATTTTTTCCGAGTTGATGCCTGTTTTAGCACTGTAAAAATCCTAAAATCTTTCATCATTCTCTTGTGTGACGTCATGTGTCTTTGGGTTTCAGTGCATCACTTTCACGACCGCTGGATCAAGAACGCGGGCACCAAAGAAACGCGGAAGAAAAAAGAAAGAAGATAATGCTAAGCCGTCATAATGAAAATTGTTAAAATAATAAGATTAATAATTGAAGGATAGAAAATGCAATCTAAAACGGCAAATTTCATGTTCTGTTTGGCCAACATCTTTCCTAATGTTTTGTTTGAAGTCAAAGAAATTGCAGATTAGGCAGCCGTTCTTAAATAAAAGTTTCTTTCATAAACTGTTGACATCTTTTCGTGATGTTCTTGTTTGATTGACCAATCAAAATCCAGATAAGACCGGGAAGCGAGAAGTGAAATACTAGTCAATTGCACCATGCGGTTCTCTCTTCTCTGATTGGCTGAACAGACTGGAAAACCAACAAAATGTCAGAACGTTAATCCCATGAAGTAGAGACTCCCAATCGGTACGATAAAAAATGCGTGGAATTATTTATGTTTGTAAACGTTAATGAGCAGACATATGCTACTAGAGTTTGTCGTGCTTCTGAATAATTCGGAAATCGTATTTTCAGTTAGGCGGAGAAACTGCTAAAATCATCTCAGTGCCAACTTCTAAATTCACTTTAAAAAGTAAAGGAGACGCAAGGGTTTTTTTTACCAGATGTATGTCTGTAACCTTAAATTGAAATGGCAATAAATAAATTTGCAAGATATCCGTTGTTCGTTGTTCTTTTTTTGACTGTAAATTGCGAAAATCAGCGTAGTCAGTTAATCAGTTTTAATAAAAGAATTGACACAGTGAAATCAAATTTCGCGTCTATTTACATTTCGCTGGAGAGATTATTTCATTTTGGCATAAAAATTCATTATTGCATACTTGTACTATCTCGGCCCTTCATTTTAAAGTGCGTCTGTCGTCTATTTTTCTTCGGATTTGCTAGTTCCTGATGCCTATCTGATTGCTTAAATGGATCCTTTTTAAGACCTTAAAAGCTCACGTGAACAAGTTCCCAAACAAAGAAAGTTATATCTTCAATTAGCGCCTTATGATCAGCACTCTGAATTTAATTTCATCTGCGGAATGGTTGAAAATTCAAGGTACGTTGTGTTTTTAAAAATGTTTATGAATCATTTCTGATGCTGTGTGGTTTATTTAGTCAATAAACCCCTTCAGGCCACATCATATGAACGTATTAGATCAGTCTTCTACCGAAATAGTATGATTACGAAAATATGCTCCCATGATTGACGAAGAAACCTTTCATAACAATTCCTCCCATTAGCTTTTATTGAGTTGTGGCTCTAAAAGAACAACTCTGTTTTTCACGATTATTAAGCCCCTTTCAGTCGCTGTTATTTTATAGTAGAATGTTGTAGACTTTTCGTGTTCGTCTGAAATTGTACTGACTTGTTATGCGCTTTACATTGATGTTTTTGAGAGTTGTTATGTGCAGCTTTGCGTTTTCGAGAAGCTCTCCCTTTCTCCACACCCCCCCCCCCCCCCCCCCCCCCCCCCCCCCCCCCCCCCCCCCCCCCCCCCCCCCCCCCCCCCCCCCCCCCCCCCCCCCCCCCCCCC